ACCGAGTTGTAAAGTGGTGTTAGTGACATAATCACGAAGCTTCACGAGATGGCTTTCGTACACGAAGACCTTTCCCCGGGGATGCGGGGACGAGTATGCTCCTCGGGAACCTCTAGTTCTCGTCATCATAGAGTCAGTTTGTTCCGGTGGGAGAACGATCCGGGTGGGAGGCTCTTGTTCATGGCATTCAGCCGTGACCCTCCCCGAACTCGGTTGTGGGCACATCTTCCGTTGTGGGGTTAACGTCATCAGTCTCCACAACGTGTTCCGCATTGTTCATTGCACCAAGTCCAGGCAATGCTTCCTCGACAATGCCAACATCAACAGTAGGCAATCCTACCTCCGAATGTCTACTGTGGGCAAGAGAGGCAAACGGGAATTCATGTTCTACAAACTTAACATCTCTCGAAGTCCGAAAGACTTCTCTTTCCGAGATCAAACAATTTCCAGCCTTTTTGTCCGATTGAATATCCAACAAATACATTTTTGCGACTTCTACTTGCAAATTTGTCACCTTTCCTATCTTGGTTATGTGCATAACACAAGCATCCAAATACCCGTAGATGGTCATAAGTGGGTGGCTTCCCATTCAATATTTCATATGGAGTTTTTCCATGGAGAACGGTTGAGGGTGTACGATTGATCAAGTATCCTGCGGTCAAAATGCATTCTCCCCAAAATTGAAGTGGAAGTTCTCCCTGAAATCGTAGAGCACGAGCTACATTTAGGATGTGTCGATGTTTTCGTTTGGCTCTCCCATTTTGCTGAGGTGTTCCAGTGCATGAGGTTTGATGGAGTATCCCATGTTGCTGAAAATATCGTTGAAGACACATAAACTCAGTTCCATTGTCACTTCGTAATATTTTGACTTGTTTCTCGTATTGTCGTTCTATTAAAGAGATGAAATGCTTTAAGGTTTGTGACACATCTTTCTTATTATTCAAGAGATATATCCACACAGCTCGAGAACAGTCATCAACCAAAGTGAGAAAGTAAGATGCACCACAAGACGAGGGAGTTCTATATGGACCCCATAAATCACAATGTATTAAATCAAATATATTGGATGCTTGAAACTCACTTAAAGGAAATGTGTTTCTACATTGCTTTGATCTCTCACACACTTCACACACCCGAGTTGTATCCGTATTTCTATTCACGCTGTTCAGATGCGGAATTTTTCTAACAATCTGGTAGGCAGGATGTCCCATTCGCTTGTGCCAAATCTCTAGTTGATTTTCTGCATTGGTCTGATACGCCTTTATGCCACTCACACCACGATACCAATAGAGTCCCTCTTTTCGTTCACCCGCTCCAATCGAGCATCCTCGAAGTGTGGTCCCGCATTGCACAAAATCTATCAGTAAAATGTACCTGTACATTTTACTTCATTCGTCAATTGTGAGACTGAAATCAAATTGCAATTCAATTTCGGAACATATAGAACATGTTTAAGTTTCAGTCCTCCATCAAGGAAAACTGATCCTTCTTTGTTTGCCAGCACCAATTCACCATTTGGTAGTCCCACTGGGCACCCTTCCAAGGCTCGACTCTCCCTCAAGTTTTCTAGTGTTCCTGTCATATGATTAGAGGCGCCACTATCAATAATCCACAAGTCACATGCTTTCTTACCGAGTCATCTTTTCAGTTTCATTTGCCTTGCGAGAATTCAACATTCGTTGTCAAGATCCGCCATTGCTCATTACTCGGTCCCGCTACTTCGGTTTTTCGGTTGAACCAACGTTATCTGCACCAGTGTGCGCCATATTGACGCGAGCCGTTCCTCCTTTCCCTCGGAAGGTTCCTGTTTTTTGTTGATTTTTTCCATCGTTTCTATCGGTTCGTGGTCTCTCTCCCCACCATTCTGGGTAACCAATGATCTCGAAGCAATTGCCTTTGTCATGTCCCTTCCTTCCACACTGCATGCAAACAACTGATTTTTCTTTCGCTTCATTGCGCAACTTGTTCCTGGTTTCCGCTCGCATAGCCATTCCCACGATCATTCCTCGCTCTTCTTTAGACCTGGTGATTGTTCTCACCCTTTCTTCTTGCACCATGGTGGCATACACCCGATTCAACAAGGGTAATGGATCTGTTGCCAAAACATTTGACCGTGCAGTTCCATAGCCCTCATCATCTAGCCCCATCAAGAACTAATGAATTTTTTCTTCTTCTCTTCGTTTCTCAAGTTGCGTCATAATATTACAATTGCATCCCCCACATCTACACTGTGGGATTTGCTCGTAATTTGCCAGTTCATCCCACAACGTTTTCAACTTCCCATAATAGGAAACCATAGTCATTCCTTGTTGTTTGCATTCTGCCAACTCTGACTTTAGCTGCTGGATTCTTGGTCCGTTCACGATCGAGAATCGTTCCTTGATGTCATCCCATAGGTCCTTTGCGTTTTCCATGTATGCAACAGTGGAACGCAAACTAGGTTCTATAGTGTTTAGTATCCAAGATACAAGCATCGATTGAATTGTCCACCAATCTTCTATCTCAGATGTGTCTTCTTCAGGTTCCTTATGAGTTCCATCTATGAAACCCCATTTCCTTCGAGCCCGCAGAGATATCTTCACGGCCCTTGCCCATTCCTCGTAATTCTCTCCTCGTAATTGTACCTGTGTAATTACATTTCCAGGATTATCACTGGCACTCAGATCGTATGGCGATGGTGTTTTCTTCACCGCCTCTCCTTTCTCTGTCATTTTAGAAGTACGACTGTGTTCTCGGGCTGTTGGATATCAGAGTTTGGTTCGCTCTGATACCATGATAAAAATATTTCCGAAAACCCCTGTCTTGTATTGAATATGATAGCACAATATATACATGAAATACAGAAACATTCTAGGCTATAATTACGCTAACCATTATAGTCGGTATCCTAAATTTGTCTATTAACAGATATGAAATTAATGTGCATCGCTGTCATGCCAAGCTAAATATGGAAAAAATAATCATGTAGAATCATGGCATGATACGGTATTTGTAATCGTATATTCTATGTATATTCTATGTTTATCATTATCTGAAATCCGGTAGCAGTGCAACTTTGGAATCATCCAGTAAACTCTGGATTTTCACATTTCCTGTGCAAGAGCTCAATCCTCTCACTAATTTATTTTATATTATTTTTTGTAAATTCTAAAGACAAGTTAATGGGTAAGATTTACATTGTGATCCAATCGTATATAGTGAGTGATTCATGTAAATTTTCAAATATGTAGAATATCTCCAATACCATCCATTTAGGATACTCACTTTGGGTATATTATTTTTTGTTAAAACCAATTTAAGTATTATAATGTTATATTATATTTAAACAATTCATACATAAATTTGCTCCAATAATATAATGCTTTTTCATTTTTTTTTATCTGTGCTTAATTTTGTTTCAAATTAAGATATTAACTTTACATTCTACTTAACATCACTGAGATAAAAATACTATTTCAACTTAATATGTTCTGTACCCAAAGTCTGGTAAAAAAATAGTCTGCAAAGATGTTGTGGACTCGATGTTATGTTCATCATTAGTTCATATATTGCTTTTGGGGTTAAAATTCTTAGTAAATAAATTAGCACCAATGAATGGTTTAAATTCAAAATGTAATAAACCCTTTAATATTGATGATAATTAACTTTTAGAAAGCACCATTAATCAATGTTCTTCACGCGATCTAACTAATTGAATAGTATACCCAAGGTACATTTAAGCTTTAAACATATCTTGCACAAGGCATAACATCATTAACACAAACATGTTACTTTTTTATGTCAATTTCATACTTAACTTAGCATGTCTTAGATTAAATCTCCCCTTTTTTCTATTCAATAGGTAAAATTTTGAGCAAATACAGTACAAGTGTTATTCTTACTTTTTTTTCTCAATTAAAATATAATTACTAAAACACATTTCAAGTGTTCCAAAATAACTTAAAATCCAGCCAAATTCAAATAGAAAATATTTTCTTAAAAATCTAAATAGAAAGTGTACTAAACATTAAATTTTTACAACAAAGTATAAAATAATTTTTTTCGTTAATAATGTTTGATATCATCATTGATTGTTTCTTCTTTCTTTGCAATACAACATATCATAAATAGTAAATAAATAAAATATTTAAAACATATTAATTTAAATTTTAAAGAATTGTATAAATTATTTTCTTAAAAGTGAGTTATTATAATTATTGTCATTATAAAAAAAAATTGGCTTTAATATATCTTATTTGATCCATAATTTATTTTTATTTTATAACTATGTGATTGATGTTAGGAACTATTTGAATTAATTTGGTTTATTTATGATAAACTGAATTAAAAATACATCAACACAATCTCACTTTTTTTATGGTCAGTTATTAATTTTTAGTTAGAGTGGTGTACTATGATTTAGTATATTAGATAACTAAAATAAATAAAAAAAGTATTTTTTTAATAATCTTTATATATATATATATATATATATATATATATATATATCATATTGAATATATAAATCTCAATAACTACTTTTAATAACGTTTCTTTTCTCAATCACAACTTTTTATCCATATAATTTGAATTGGAGACTTTATTTGATAAAAGTTAATTTCAATCAAAACATAAACTTTTTATCTTCATAATTTAGTTTGAAACATATAAGTTGTGTATATTCTAGATATGATGATTTCAATCTCATATATCTTTATTTTATTGATTTATTATTTTAGTTACCTTGAATATATAATTTTTCTATATATGATATCCAAGCTCATGGTAACCATGAGAATAACATTATTTAGCATCGATTTCAGCTTATGTGACACATGAGTTAGCATCCATTATTGTAGCATTTATCTTGACACAAACACATATTAGCATTCAGTATCTTAGTTAATTCTACAAACTTCAAAACAGTAACAACATTGAATATTTCATAACATGGAATGCATATATATTCAATCGTGTTATGAATGCAACACAAAGAGGATGATTATTATGTTACTATACTCTTAATCTTCTTTCCTATAATCTTCACTGCTATAAGGGCTGAAAGCTTCTGTGATCCAGTTCTTCTTCCTCCAGGAACTCCAACCAATATCTTCACACAGTTCATCACTATGGTTGATGCTGTAAGTTGAAATGCAATGCCTTTTATAAAACCTAGTTGACTTTTTCATAACCTCCATCTCCTTAACTGTGTGTGAAAGCATCTTCTCAACACCAGGGAGCTCAAACTTGTTATCTAATAATGCAGAGAGCCACATGGAACGAATTTCTGAAGTTGCAAGATTTGACACACTCTCAATATAACCCACAAAAGCCATGTTTGGAATCAATGGATGGATGGTTCCCCTGTAATACAATAAATCACTTTGCAATTAGGTCTCAGTTATTAATGTGTGAGAACTAGAGCAATATCTGAAATTCTCTCATATACTTTTTTTTTTAATGAGATAACACAAAACTCTAATTTTTTTTTTCTTGTAAGAATATACACTATAATATTTTTTAAATAATTAAAAAAGTTAATATATTGTATAAATATATCACCTTAATGCTTTTCAAGTTATTACGAAAGATAATAAAAGGACACAACAAAATGACAAACATCATGAGATATTAATCAAATGGTTTATTTAACAGTACTTCACTAAATATTTCTTGGATAGAAAAACCAGAAGGTAAAATAATAATAAAAAAAATATTTAAGAATTAAAATTAGCTTATATATATAAAAGTTAAGATTTTTTTTTTTAGAGAAACTTAACAGAAAATTACTTATAAAATTAGATTACATTTAACATTTTTTTTCTAAAAAAAATTGTTTATGGAAAAAAAAAGTTTAAAGAGAAAACCTAAGTGTAATTATTAAAAATCAAGATAGTCGTTGACCTATATAAGGGAATAACCCCAGATGGGTAATCTAATAAGCTGTTGAAAGGATGTGGTAAGATATTTTTGAGCTTTTTCTTGCCATCAAAACCTGTTGCAAGAACCACAACATCAGCCTCAAGTTTAGAGTTGTCATCAAATTCAATTCCCCCACTCCAGAAGGACCAATTTGATGCTCTTTTGAACACAATTTTTCCCTTATCAGCCTCAGAGAAGAAATTTTCTGGCACGATAGCCATTTGACAAGATGCATAATCCTCCTCAAAGGGGTGCTCTGGTTTAAGCCCATACTTCTCCAATGGGAGTTTCCAGAGCAGGTAGGACTCCATAAACTTCGAAACTCCACTCCTCTGTTGAAGAAAATAATAACTTATGTGAAATTCTCTACACTATTTACTATTAAAAATAATGCTTAAAATATATTAAAGTACGTTCCATTAGTTAAAGAATGGTGATTTACCAAGGGAGATAGGAGGAGGCACATAAGGGCTCTGAGTAAACCTTGATTAGGTCTTTCATGGAGGAACTGAGAAAATCTTGTTGAGTAGAATATGGAAAATGGCAATCCCCAAATCCAGTAATGGGGAACTATCCAATGTGGAGTCCTTACAACCATGGTGCATGCCTGTCCTTCAGCTCCTTCAACAACCAATTTCTTTCATGTTAAAATTTAATTAAGAAAATGGTAAGACAATTCTAAGTCTATTCAAAATTATTTGTGTACAGAAGTCTAGTATTAGAAAGGAATGGATATGATACGTAATATATTTGTAAAAAAAAATCACAGATTTATTACTTTAAAGTTATAGATTCGAAGTGATATAATGACTTGTGGTAAAAAAATATTTTATGATGTTTTATCCAATAAAATCAAATTAGAATAAGATATAGATTAATGTTATAACGATTTTAGCATGTAATAGTGTATAAAGTTTAAATCTTTATTATATATCACTTTAAAAACATATTTGTAAACAACTTTTTAGGGTCAATAAATTAGTCACCCATCAATTTCGGATTGTGCTGGTCAAATTGTTCAGTATAGTTTTTAAATCACCCATGTTTCAGTATTAATATATTTCATTAAATGGAATAATGCTTCTTTTAATTAGTTTTTAATTCCACTAATAATATAATGTTGTAAATAATAAACTATATTTAATTAATTAATTAAAGGAAACTATTATTAGTATATATTAATTCAAAAGAGAAACAAAAAGTATTATCTCTTAATTTCTTGGAGTATTTAAAATAGAAGAAAGTGTTTATGATATCATGAAATTATTAATAGAACAATGATAAAAATAAATAAATAAATAAATCAAATATGTGGTATTTTGTCTATAAAAGTAAGAAAAATATATTTGAATATAAAATGAAAGGATGTATTTTTGGACTAAATAAACAAATTTACTTAAAAGAAAAGGTGTTGAAAGAATTTTTTTTCTTTTTTGAATAAATGTATTTATTCAAATTAGTAAGCTAACATTATTTTAGTTGTAAAAAAAAATATTAGGACATATAGTTCTTGCAGATTAATTGAAATCTTCTTTTTTAATATTGTATAAATATATTATTGATTTTTTTAAGTCGTTTTACATCATTTATCACATTTATTATTTTCTCTTTATTTATTTATTTGTTACCTATTATAGTTGATCTAATCTAATGCTAGGGAGATTTTAAGTAATTTGTATTGAGTTTTATGTTCAAACCTCATTTTCATGTTAAGAAGAAAAAAATCTAAACTTTGTAAATACTTGATATGTGTCTACAAAACATCTTAATTATGTTTTAGACAACCTATTATTTAAATTTCATAGCATGAATATCTAATTCGAAAATATTTATTAAGTTAAATCAAACTCTTCCCAAATAAATATATTACTTATTTCTTATTTATTGCGTATTAATCAACAAAATTTGGTCAATACCATGTAGTATTTGAGTTTTAAATAAAGTTTGATCCATTTTTAGGTTATATAGAATGACTTATTTCCTTAAAATAAATATGTATTATAGAAAATTTAAATGATTTTTTTAAGTATTATGTTCTTTAATTTTGTTTTGTTATTATTTTGTATTAATTTAGTTTTTTTTTTAAAGTGAGCCGTTATATCCTTATGTCAATATAAAAAAATTACGATCTGACATTCATATAATCATATTTATTAATATAACAAGTATTTAGGTAGAATCAATTGTCCCGTAATTATTGCAGGTAGAATCAATTGTCTCGTAGTAGAAATTAAGTGATCGCATTACTCTTAAGTAAGAAGAGTTGTACTTTGACTAAGGACTATAATAAATTATTACATGTTGCACAATTATTCAACTTTCTTACTTATAAGTTATTTAACTTTCTTATTTCTACCTAATATAAAACTTCAATCTCACACTTAAATATTAAATTTTAGACTCACACTTAAATATAGGTCAAATTATGACAACATGATTTATATATTATCTATAATATATCATAGTAACATAAATATATAAATATATAGCATGCTTAATCTTATATCAGCACTACCTTAATTTTATATTAATACCACATCAATCTTTATGTTAATACTATATTGACAAGAATTATTATATTTCTATCACATCATACTTTTCATTATATAACTTAGTGACATTGATGCATTAACTGACTAAAAAAAACTATAATCAAATTGATATACTAAATATAATAGTGGAATAAAATTGAAAAAAAAAACAATATATAATAATGATTAGTTTATTCTTCATTAAATAAAATTATATTTATAAATATTTAATCTATGAAAATAATAAAAGATTTTTCATTTTCATACTTTAGAATATTCAAATTCGCTGAAAAATTTAGAATTCCATCCTCGATGCATTGTTATTTATTTTTTTTTCTCATCATTCACTGCATGTCATTTAAAGTCAAAACATATTTGTGGAATAGAGAACTTTTCAGGAAACATTATAAACGTGCAAAAAAGTTTCATATGTGAAGTTAGGAACGATGTCTAACTATTTGTCAAACATATAAAATAAATATTCATTTATCTTTCCCCAAAATAAAATTATAGGATATGAGTTTAAGAGTACATGTTTATCTAATATTTGCCATTGTAATAATTTATTTGAAAAATTTACTTAAAAATAAATAAATAAGTTAAAATGCGCTAAGTATTTAATATAAAAAATTTATATTGGTCTTTTAGGCTTCATAATGTAAAATAAATAAATAAAAGATATAAAAATAACTTTTTGTTTTAGTACGAGGTGACTAATTGGAAAGAAAAATGAATTGAAGAAAAGTCAATGTTAGTTATAGTACTCTCAAAATAAATTTTAGTAGGATATATATTAGTTTGAAAATTGGAAACAAAAAATATTAGGTAAAAAAATAATGATTTAAATTAAAATATTAAGACTTAAAAACTAAATGAACTTAATTAAGACTGATTTGTAAATTTGTGATAGGTCTAAGAATAATATTATTTTTATTAAAAAAATGTGTGTGTATATATATATATATATATATATATATATATATATATATATATATATATAATTATTATATATGAACATGTCTAAGAATAAAATTTTAAAATATTTTTTTAATTTTAGTTTGTTCTTTTTAATATTTTTTAAAAAGCAAAATAAAATAATATTTTAACTCATTGATCCAATGTTTATCAAGTTGAAGCTTACAAATATTATATAAATTATAAGTAAAATCTTTAAAAGAAATCTTACAAATTACAAAAAGAAATTAGTAATGATAGAATCTATTGAACTCCCTCATTTTTATGTAGAAAATGTGACTTAATTAAAATTTTAAGACTCTAAATAGTGTATTTTTTTTATCATAAAAGGTATATTTTTAAGAAAAACAAAATTTGTTTTTTTTTTAAGAAAAAGAAAAAGAAGACCAAGAGAAAATTCACTGGTTCTAGAGGCAGCCAAGAATTGATGTTAGAATTCAGTAGTATTGAACACAGTTTATGTTAAGTGTTTTCTAACATTCATTATAATTGAGTACTTGATTTCATTGAGTTGACCTAAAAGTGAATTTCAAAAATCAAATTACATTTGTTGATCCAAAATAATATATTATTCTATCTTAAAAAAAACTATAAAATTATTTATAGGAAAGATTTTATCGACCAAATTATATTTAGTCATTTATAGAAATTATAATTTTCAGAATTCATGATTTTTTAGAGAATGAAAAATAAAAGTAATATCTCTTCTATTATTCCTTAAAGAAATTTATATCTCAGCCTAATATTCACCCAAAAAAAAAAATCACTTCTGGCATTCTTAATAATCCATATATTTTCATTTAAGTAATTTCAAATGGATCATACATTTTTGTATAAAAATATGAAAAAAAATATATCTTTTCTCATTAAGTGCATAATTAACATTAAAAAATCATTAATTACCGATAAATATTTACCTATAGATATGTAGTTGTTAGAAAATGAGTGATTACCATAAATTAACAATTAGTTATAGTATTCAGTCGGTAAATATTTAAAATATATTTTATAAATATATTTGTATTTATATATTTACACGAGATATATATTTATTTATATATAAATATAATTTATTTGTACGTTATTATAAAAAAATCATATTAACTTAGTGGTTGGAGTATCAACCTTCAATTTTGAAATATTAAATTTGAATTTTGTCAATAAAGGAAAATAGACCTCTAGATAAATATAAATAATAATTCAAAATATAATAAAAAATAAAATATAATAATTAAATAATTTACTTATGAATAATTACTTATCTATGGAAAAATCCAATTTTTCTTGTAAAAATATTCAATACCTGGTTTTTATCATATGTATTAAAAGTTTGTTTCATTTTGGGAACATGTAGCAAAGAGTCAATTAGGCCAGTTGTTTAATTAATTATTATGTTACCTTTTAATACAATTTTATTAAACACAAAAAAGATGGAAATTAAGAAAAGACAAGCATCATATTAAAAAACTTAGCTGAACACGATCAAGAGTTTTGTTTTAATTTTAACATATATTAGAAAAGTAAACTATAATATTTTTGGAGAGTTAATTACCTTGGTTTGCCTTAGCACACTCCATGGCTAAATCAATAGCAGACTTTTTGAAGCCAATAACCACAACTTTTTTTCCTTTGAGAAGCTTAGTAGCAGAGTGTTGGTCAAGTTTACAGTAATCAAGTGTGTGCAGAACCCTACCATTGAACACTTCAGGGCCTCTATTGCATGCAAAATCTGGAATCTCTGGTATGTCACCATATTTTCCAGTGCAAACCACCACAAACTCAAACCCGTACCACTGAAATATAGTGGCCAAATTATGATCATTCCTCATAAAATGCATATATTTTGATGCGATTTTCTTAATAACTAAAAACTATATTATTAACTGGGATTTGCAGTTATGAAGGAATTGAATAAAATAACAGTAATTTTAATTATATGATATATAATGAAATCATTACTAGAAGTGATAATTCTTTTCATAACAACAAGATAATGTTTTATTTTTATAAAACACTCATATATTAAAAGAGAAAAAGAAAAATCTCCTTTAAAATTACCCTACCATGTGTTTTTTTTTCAGAGAATGTTAATCTTTCCTCTTTTAATTTAAAGAACAAATTATATATATTTTTTTATCAAAATTACGTTTATCAGTTTTGTTCAATTTTTTTTACATTAAATTCTTATATTTATACTGTAATAATTAATATTTATCGATATTTTATAACTAATTTTTATCAGAAAAACTAGTTGGTGACTATTTTTTTTTAGTGGAATGCTTTTATCTACAATTTTTTTTCAATTCACAACCACAACATTTTAATTCTACGTACCTTATTTAAAGGGATCGAGTTTAATTTCACTTGAAACATATGTGGTTATTTTTTTATTTAAAAAAGATAAAATAAAATAAAAGTTGCTTGATTTGCAAAAAGTTTCACTAAAACTTGATAAATAATTGGGATTCAATTCATATATTACAGTGCTTTCAATAGATAAAATAAATAAACCATTTTTACTTGATTTGTAAAGGTTGAATAAAACCTGAAGCCAAGGGTGGAATTCAGTTCGTATATCACACTTTCTTTCTCTTTAATTGTTTCATGTAAAATTTATCTCCTAAAATACAAAATATTGTGAATTTTGCTTATATTCACAATTAAAATATTTCGTGACAGTTTTTATTTGAACCAGATATTATTTAAACAATTTTGTGAATTTTTTTTTAAATATTAATGGTCTTCTGGGGGTGAAATTTGCAAGATTATAAAACTTTAAAAACAAATTCAAATTAAACCAAAATTCAATGGTGAGTAGAAAAATTTGTAATATTTTTATGATATAATCCCCTATAAAACAGGTTATATTTATTTGAACTATATTTTACTTATAATACACCATAACTTTACAGAATTTATAAACAACAAAAGAAGATCCAATTTCTTTCTTTCAAAACCTAACCTCACTTCTTAAAAGTTGCTTTAGTTTCCATAAATAGTTTACCAAATTCTTACCTCTAGCTTAGAATGTATTCCAAATCGATCATAAATAATGATGAGGTTTTGTAGAGAAAAAAACGACAGAAGGAAATTGATTATTATATACATAACAGTTAAATTCAAGTAAGTTATAGGGTTGCTGAATATAAGTTATAGAAGTAATTCTGATAATTTTTTATATTATAAAATATATAGAGACTAAATTTTATGTCATGTTTTCATTTCGAAGACCTATCCTTTTCCAGTTCTCAAATATCAGTTCACAAGAAAGTGTTATAGACTAAATTCCATGGTCGTATTAGTCTTTAAAACCTAAGAAAAACTCAAAAAAGTTCCTGGAAAATTGTAGAATCTTATTTGAGTCTTTGAATTTCTTTTTAATAATTTTGGTCCAAAAACTTCTAGATAAAAAAAACATATATTTAGGGGGAAAATAGATCGCTTTTAAAAACTGAAATAAAATCCTAAAAAAGTTGAGTTTTGTTAGTTTCAGAAACTAATTAATATAGGTAAGACACAATTTTAGAAACTAAACTAATTATTATTAATTATTGTATAGTCGAAGATCATGATGAGACATATAGTTTGATGAATTTCAATGAAATTTGGAAGATTAAAACCTGAAAGACAAAGTGAAGATGAAGCAATAATTTTTGTACAAGATCGATTGAATAAGTGAACAAATACCTGAATGATGTCTGAATGATTGGTCTTGACAGCAAGTTGCCATAGAGGGTAACCAGGGAGAGGGGTTCCATGATCACTAGGTAAACCTCCAAAATTGGAAGAACCATCATGGTCCCCAACATGCCGAATTTCCACCACCTTGGAGTTGAATCTGATGTTCTTAATCACATCAAAGTGTTCAGCATAGGAATGCAAATACTCCAAAATCTCCATGTGGGTAGGGAAATCTGAGTTGTCTCTTCGGGGCCAAGGGAAATCACTGAACTCATAGTCACGTCTGTGTGACTGAAGCTTAGTGGAGTTGTAGCAGCAGTGCCTCCACACCCCACCAATGGAATCAGAGGCCTCAAAAACAAGAGGGTTGTGATGGGATAGTTGTTTGGTGGCAGCTATGCCGCTTACACCAGCCCCTATAATGGCTATTTTAGAAACTATGATTTGATGGTTATCAATGGTGGCCATGGGAATGAAAAACTAGGGTAATGATAACGATGAATCTGGTGTTGGTGTTGATGTGTATTGTGTATTGTGTATGTACGATGAAAAGGTGAGGTTGTCCCAATATATACAACACCATGAAGCTGCATGCAGACGTCATCTGTAAAAGCACGTGATTTGGACTCAGACGTACGTGGCCAAGAGAAAATATTAATCCAAGGGTTTCAATGAACTTTCCCTTGAGGAACTTTACACTAACAAATGTTTTTGGAAAAATATTAATCCTACAATAATAGTTTGCCTATAAAATGATTATCATATATATGAATATTTTGAACTTTGTCAATACAAAACAAAGGGTTTCCTTTGTACTTCTTTCTTTCTTCCTTTCTTACTACCCTCCTAATGTAGGTCTTAAAAGTAGATTTAGGTAGACAAGAGACCTAAAAAAAATAGAGAGAAAAAGTAAAGGGTGAAAAACAACCAGTCAGAGATATACACCTAGCGTTTGAAATTTTTTTTTTTTTTCATTTTGATGAATTATTACTTTTCTATCATCAAAATAATTATTAAGAACAACCTAGAAGATGAACATGATCCAATCAGTTCTACCTCAAGGTTGATTATAGTATCGCATAATAAAAAATAATGATTTTTTTTAATATAGTTTAAACTGATTTGGTGTTTATATTAAAAATGTATATTAATAAATCTTTTATTTGATAGAGAATTAATATTTATATAACATGTATATGATTTTTTTGAATATATATTATTCTAAATTTTATATTTTATTTAAATATGATTTAACTATATAAAATATTTGTCAATATTAATCACAGTTAATGCTAAGAGTTTTCATATTACGTTAAAAAATTAAGTTGACACCATCTTGTTTCTATATTTGGAGTTTTTTCACCTTAAAATAAAGGTTAAGTAATTTGAGTCTTTAAAATTTAGGATAAATAAATTTTTTTAGTTTCTTAAATTAAAAAAAAAACTGAAAGTTAGTAAAAGATGATTTTAATCCTTAGACGCTAAATTTAAAGGATAAAAGTAATTTAAAATAACTTATGTTAGTATTCTAAATTTATTGATTAGGAACAATTTTTTTATTATTTCGTTTGCTTGCATGGAAAATTATTTTTTATGGAATAAATTATTTAGTTAAATTCTTCAATCAAAATGATATTGAATTGCCGTGCATGATCTTTTTTGTTATTATGACTTTCATTTTCTGGTTGAAATTGCACTGTGATTGTGGGGCATGTTCTAATTTCATTTTGGTTATCTTTCTTATAATTTGGGTATTTGTCTCTTAACAAAGCCCTTTACCTAGCTCTTTAAATATTTCTTGGTGTGTATCATTTTATTGAGTTTTGGTGGCCACATGCTGTGCTGTGTTTGTACTTATATCATTGATGAAGAATTTTTTTATTGAAAAAAATAATCAAATATTTTTTTCTTTTTTTTTTACCATAGTTCCACCATCTATGTTGTTAATATTGTGGAACTTATGTAAACTTGTTGCTTTATTAACATTTCGATTCTTTTGATAGTTTTATACAGTGGCAGATATTGAATATTGATTTTGGAGGGTCAAATAATATATTATTAATAAATAAATATAAAAGGAAGAGAGAAGATGAAAGGGTGAAAGAATAAAATTGTAAATATATACTTAAATATATTAAATGAGTTACAAAACTGAGGAAGGACTGAGATGATAAAATTATAAATATACAAGTAAATATATTAAATGTTCATTAAATTTGGAGGACCAAAATCATAAATTAAATAGGAGTTACAAAATTTTGAGATGGTGAGACCCACTCAACTTCCAATATCCTTCACGGATGTATATTTAGGTGTATATTTAGTATTTAACATGGTTGCATTATCAGAAAATGGTGGCAGATGAAATCGATATTATTAAAATATTTGGCCAAAAGGTCCAGAACACGAGCCATGAAGGACATTCAATTGAGTGATGAAATCATTAAAAAAAATCAAGATATTTTGGAACAAATTTAGGATATGTGATTGGATTACAATGTTTTCCAAAAATAGGTGTTTTGATTTGGTCTTAGATAACATTCTTTGTCATGTTTATATTTGTTTCTAGAAGCAGAGTTTGGTTGTGGTAGGTAAAGGGGCCATGCCCTTCCTAAACTCACAAAAGATACAAATGATCGTTTATATTTTTGGTAATTACGTACTAATATGATTTTTATATAATAATCTTAGATATTTTTTAAAACTAATAAGTTGTTAAAATGACATTATACCATATTAATTTTCAATTATTTTCTTTATTATTTTTATAACAAAAATTAGTATAATAATAAATCTAAAATGATATTATTACACTTTTTTTATTTTTTTTGTTTGTACAACATGAACCTCTAGGGCTAATTTGATATTTAAAAAAATTGTTGAGATCAATAAAGAAGAAAGTCCTAATTAGATTAGTCTTCCAATGAAGAGATATTGCAACAATTAATAAAAGTTGTATATCTTGTATCAATGATATTACGTTACATCATCCAATTACAAGGTTCAGAGTGTACAAATAACATAATTTCAAGGTCCAAAAATCTCAAACATTTCTAAAAACTAAGTTAACTATTTTGGTTGTATTGTTTACTCAGCCACACCTGTTTAGTGAGATATACATCTTGATTAGAAAATGCTTCAAGGAAATTCTAGTCACATCTTCACTGAACAAGCATTTAAGTTTTAGGGATGACAATTAAATTTATATCTATGAAAATCAATTCGTCTCCATTCCAAATTTGATAGAAAAAAATCAAGTTAATTAGGTAGGTTCGAATTTTCCCTACTTTAAAAAGTCATGTTAGATTCAAGTTTTTTCCACTTTAAAAAATCGAAGACGGAGACGGAGATGTGTAATGCAATTCTCACTCCAGACTCCATTTTTGTTTTCGTCCCGACTTTATATTTAAATTTTAAAATATTATTATTTTAAAAATATTTTCTTTTCTTTTTCAATTATAATTTTTTTATATTTTATCATTATTACTTTTTTTTCTATCCACTTATTTATTCTTTTGTTTTTTTAAATTTTTTATATCAATTATTGTTTTTTTTTTACCTTTCACTTTTCTACATATCTCTCCCATCAATTATTTTTTTTCAATATTTTCAACCAATTTGATGAACACAAAGTTATTTTTTCTTATTGTTTATCTTTTTCTCTAAATATTTTACATAAATATTAGTAGTAACTAATATTATTTTATTTATAATTTATTTTTATTAGGTTTTATTATACTATATTTTTTGATCTTATTATTCTTATTTGTCATATATCAAATTTTATCTTAATAAAATAATTATATTTTAAAGGATTAAAAATTTTGATAATTTAAAATTTTATTACTTTAAACTAATTAAATAAGAACTAACTTATTAAATATTTTCTTATAAATTATATATTTCATATTTTTAAATGATAATTTAAAAAGAAATTAACTTATATAATATAATATATATATATAATATAATATTTGAATACAGTATAATAATAATAATATTATTATTATTATTATTATTATAATAAATATTTTACAAAAATAATTAAATATTTTTTTATTACATATTTTAATATAAATATAATAAATCAAAATATATATTTAATTAATATTTATTATAAATTATAAAATTATAAATATTTATTTATATAAAAAATACATAAAATTAATAAAATTAATTTATTATAAATATAATTATTTTATAAAAAATAATATAGATTAAAGACTTTTGGAACCAAAGATTTAATTTCTAATCTTAGAAATTGAAGATGAGATCCGAAATTTAATTATTAATCCAAAAAATTGAATACTAAAACGAAAAGAGTTAAAAAAAATAGGACTAAAGATTTAATTTCTAATTCTAGAAATCGAACACAAGATTAAGTAGAGAAAACCTCACCCCACCGCTTGCCATGCGTGTATATATAAGTTTAGGTTTCACCAAATATAACACATTTGTTTTGCTCAAGTTTCACCAGTCATAAGGCCCAACTTTAGCAGCCACTTAAACAACCCAAAGCATATTTTAACAACTCTTATTTATTTTATTTAAAAAAAACAATTTTCATTCTTTTTTCTTTTTTTTTCTAACCACTGTTTATATTTTCGAAACTTTTAACATTGTGTTTGGATGAAAAATTTATACAAATTTTAATAGAGAACTTAAAACGTAAAGATAAGTTGTTGAGATAAATTTTAAAAAAAAAATCTATAAATTTATTATAGTAATTTAATTATTAAAAATTCAAAATTTATCTAAACATAAGAATTAAAAATATACATATATATATATATATATATATATTTTTTTTTCTCAAATTTATATCTTTTCTTTTTATTTTATTTTTCTTCTCAATCTATTTTTACTTTGATTAATTTATCCTAAATGTCATTGTATAGTTTAATTCACTTTTATTTCCCTCAAACCATTCTAAAACTATATGATCTCATCTATTTAATTTAACTCATTATAACTCAATGTAACTTAATTTAACTCATCACACTTTAACTCAGAGCGACATGACCTAAATTATCTGAATTTGATCCAACTTTTTTTTATTAGGATTGAATTAACTATATACTCTAGACTTAGTTCATTCGACCTATCTTGACCTAAACAATGTGAACTCATCTTAATCTAGTCCAACCCATTTTAACATAATCTAACATGACTTGATTAATGTTAACACAACTTTAGTTATTTCAACTTTTCAACTCGTCCCAACATGAATCAAATCATATGGATTAGACATAATTCATTTGATAAAATCCAACTCAACTTTACATAATCCTCATAATCTAATTCTAATCTTACCAACTTAGTTTGTCTATATCTAAAGTAATTTAATATAGTTTGTCATCTAACCTAATCTAATTCATATTCATTTATAATATAGTAAGGATAATTTTTATATTTGATAATAATTAAAACATCATATAAAAAAATAATAAAATTTAAAATATCGTATCAAAGAAATTATTTAAAAAAAATAATTTAAAATAAAAGTAATTTAAATTGAATAATCTTCACAAATCACAAAATTTCTCATTTAAAAACAATATAAAATGTAGGGGTGACTATGAATAATTAATAATTATTATATTTTAAAAAATAATGTTGAAAATAAGAAGTAAATGTTTAAGAATAATTTCATCTTTCATCTCTATGCATTCATTTTCATTGTTTACTTACTGAATATAAAATTTAAGGTGATAAATGCAAGCCAAATATGTTTGTCATTAACTATCATTTACAGGGTCACAAATTTTCATGGTAAGTCATGTTCAGGTGGATCACTTCATCAATCCATTGATCATGCCAAGAAGTGTAGTCGTGAAATCACCAATTTCCCAACGATCACCCCCAATATATGAGGTCATATTTTTCCCATGGATTTCCAATGAGAACTGTTTAAGGACTTTGTTTCAATCATGTTCAAAGTGACGGAATGTCTGCAAATATTTTCCTCTTGACACATCCTCGTTTCCTCTTATTCATCACAACAAGACCATTCCAACTTTTCAATATTTAATCCTTATCCCCGCATATGTCAAATTGGGGGGAAAATTATAATTTGAATAACTATAAATTAGATTATTAATAATGGATATGATCAAGTCATGGATCGAAAAAGCTAAGTTAGGATAAGTATTTAAAAATCATTTTATATTATATTTATTAAATTTCTACATGTCACTATATTAGAAATTTAATTTAAAAAAGTTTTTAATTTATGGATAAATTAAAAATCGAATCTAACTATTAGAACGTTTTAAACATGCATCCAGCAACTACAATAACATTAAAAATAAAATATAACTATTAACTATGTTTTACATGTACTATGAAATGTTGACGTCTTTTTATAGTATCTAACGCTTCTAGTAGCATTTAAAATTTAATCTAGCGACAAGAAAAAATTAAATAAATTTTTTTATAAAATATATTTCTAATTAAAATAATTTGAAATAATTAATCTTAATTAAAATATCAATATATTTTTAATCTCTTAATTTTAATAAAAAATTTTTTATCAAATCCTACTATTTCCAAATCTTGAAGAAGGGCTAAGGTTCAAGGTCACTTTAAATAAATGTTGAGATTTAAAAACCTACAGAACTTTTATTAAGAGTTAACACGTAATTAAATAACTAACATCATGTGCTTCACAAGACCAATTCCCACTTTACATTCCTATTTCTTATTTTTATAATTTTCAATAGGTTTTTTTAACTTCTAAAAGATTCCAGTATCAAACCTAGATAATGATTTAGCATTTATTATAATATATATCATTTTATTGGTTGCACACTAAAGCAAAAAGGACGCACAGTGCTTTACCTAATAAATTAACTAAGCATTGCAGTTTCACGTACCATATAACGGCACGGTTCTCTTCCTTTTCATATCAATTCAATTCTGAGAGATGATGGGCCTGGGTCTGGGTCTGGGTTTGGGCTTGGCCTTTGACATTGCTTTCCCCGTCCTACTTTGACCCAGCCGATTAATCATGTACAGAGCATTGCTGGTGACCTTGGCTACGTCGGTGACCCTGCGTTTGACGTCGGGCCTGGCATTGCCGGCGAATCCGTCGAGGCAGGTGTCGCCGTCGGTGAGGGCGGCGCTGACCCACGTCTGCGCGTTGCTCATTTGCCAGCGGAAAGTCTCGGAGCGCAGGTGCTGCAGCTCGTCGAGGCTCCGCCGCAGCTGGTCCAAGGAGTCCGAGATCTGCTCCGTGCAGTCGCGCAGCGCGGAGCGCTGCCGCTTGCTCATGGCGGCGGCGCCACCTTTGGAAAGCGCGTGCAGGAACTTGGAGGCCCGGCGGGTGTGGGCCAGGCTGACCCTGAGCGCGGCTCGGGCCAGGTCGAGAGGCGTGTTTTCTGGTCCCGGGTAGTGAGAGAGGGTGCGCAGGCAGAGACGCGGGTAGCGCGCGTGCACGCACGAGGACCGGACCAGATCCTGCGGCTTGCTCTGAGCTCCCGAGGTGAAAGCTGTGGGAGATGTTAACAAAAAGGAGAGTAGAAGCGTGGAGAGTGTGATTTGAAGTTGCATTTTTGTGTTGTGTGTTTTTTGTTTAGATCTGGAAGAAGAAGAAGAAGAAGATGATGATAACAGTGAGTGATGAAGTGTGAGTAGTTCAGTGTTTGTAGTGGGAAGTGGGAGAATGATTGTGCGGAATTATTGAAGGGTTTTTGTACTATGGTGACATAGCAGCATTGGCGGTGGAATTTGTGCACATTTATAGCTGAGTTTGTGTAGTGCTTTTTAAAAAGTTGCAATTACAGAAATGGCCCTTGACTTATCCTATGCTATTGACGTGTGAAAGTACTTTTTCGACCTTTTCACTTTCCTTAGATATTATTGTTGTAGTTGGATCAGAACAAATTTACTCTTACTAGATTGGTAAATGCTCGTTCCATGGCGTTAATTCTTTCTACTTCCTTTTTCAGTTGAAGTGCATGATGTTTCAAGGGTTGTAAAAATATTCAGTGGTTTTTATACATATTGCACGTTTTAATGTTTGCAACGAGAAATTAAAATTTCTTATAGTCAAAATATTTTTGAATTTTCTAACTTTAATTTAAATATTTTCATTTTTTAATTTTATTTGATAATATACATACCACATAATAGATGATTTATAGAATCGACAATAATAAACATTGGTAAACGTAACTACCAATATATATTTTCAATGCCATTAATAATATTCATATACTTATAACCTCTTTGACGATGATGTCTGTGGTCTTAAATAAAATTCGCTTTAAATATTTACAAAATGACTTATAATTTTTTACCTTAATAATTTTTTATTATTATTATAAAAGATTATAGTACTTATTTTTTAAATTATACTAAAATAATTTTTTTCTTTTTTTTTATAAATGTGTAATAATTGTGTTTTTTTTTTAATATTATTATGTGCTTCTTAGATTTAAAGAACAAATATTGTAGTTTCTTTTGATAAAATTTTATTATTACTTTATTATCTTGTTTCTGTTTTCTTATTTTAGTTATAAGTTTTTATATTGTTATTTTAATTCCTATGTTACGATGAATTTTTCTTGAAGAGAGGGTCCCGAGAGAGTGTAATATTTAATATGATAATATAGGTAGTGTAATTTTTATGTGGTATTTTGAAATTTGTATCCTTCGTAATTTTAAAAATAAAAGACATCTTGATATATATAAATTATCTTTAATATTTAAAAGATGTTTCATAAATTAAGAGATTAAGAAAAAAATACTTATATAAATTACATTTAACATTATAAGACTCATGAATTAATCATAATCAAAACAATCTTAACTAATAATTCATTTGTCAAAATTAAAAGTTAATTATAATTTTATTTGATAAAAATCAATCTCAGATATTGGCAATCCTCCCGTGGCTCTTGAAGTAGCGAAATAACATAATTACAATATTCTCATCATATTTATTACAACATATCCTATGCATGAAATTTCATTGAACAAACCATATTGGAATTCAATTTTTTTTTCCAAAAACATAATTAGAAATCAACCTGCGAATAATATTTGGACCCCTTAAACATATCCTTAAGTTAAACTCAACATGGATGGAGTCTGGTGATAATCTTATTTTTAAAAATGATTATTGAACGTAATTCTAAGTTTTTTTTTCTTTTATTGTTTAAAAAATAATTTTATTTATAGTTGTTATCTTTCATTTATCTTTGTTAATAAATGGAAAAAGTTTGATAACTTTGTTGAAAGTGTGATTTTAAAACACTTAAAATTAGGTTAAGAGAGAAGAAGATCTGATTAAGCAACGTCAAAGAATATTCATTTAAAGTGTAGACTTCCTTACTTATGCGAACATGACTTTTTTTCTCACTCACCACGTCAAAGTGCTTAAGCTAGAGAGATATTGGTCTTGAAACTAACCAAGTAAGCATTTCACTTTAGTTAAATAAAGTATACATATTTAAATTAAACACGTTATTTATAAAAGGTGGAAATACTTAATAATGTAATTATATTTATGGTAATACATGATGAATAGTTATTGATATTTATTATATTATCAAGATATCATAATTAAAAATAAAACTTTTACATATAACATAGGAAGTTGTAAATGAAAATAGTCTCTTCATCCTTATTCGAAAATAAAAGTTTCCATGATCTACAAAATCCTCATACTTAAAGATTATCTAAAAAAAATTTAAATATATGAAAGCTTCAAAACAGGTCAAGTTTTTTTTTTTTTTTTTTTGAATATTTACGGATAAATTGATTCCAATAAGCATAAGGAAGCATTTGAATTGTCTGTATTAGTAGTGTAGGGATAGGGCCAATGTCCACGTGAAAGTGTGGCCTTAGGTAGCCATGCATCTCAGAAAAGTAGCTACCATCTTTCTTTCTGGGAATTGAATGAGTGGTTGGCATGGACGAAAGGCTCGTATTTAAACCACAGTAATAATTGGCATGGAGAAGTGACCCAGCACATGTAATAATTCAGAATGGACCAATAAATGATGATTCACAAACTTTTATTTCTCATACCTGCTTTCGTTCTTTTCGGAACATGCATCGTGTTCATCCCTTTTTGGAATGAGTTTGGTGGTGGTGATTAAGAAATAAAAGATAACAGATAAAAACAGTTTTTCAAATATTCAAGTTACGTCAAAGTTCTTTATTCTCTGAAACATGGTTTATTTCTCTATCCAACTACCACGTGCGGAATTTAAAACCTCTAGAATATATATACGTAGATAATTCTAACAAAAAAATAAGTTTATGTACATAGAATATATACGTAGAACATGTCCATGTTGTTCTGCCCCAATAGATACGTAGATAATTCCACTTCCCAGGGCCCAATAAAGCATTCTAACAAAAAAAAAAGTTTATGTCCATTTAATTAAACAGGCCCAGGCCCCGTCCACATAATTATTTATATACTTTAAATACAATAATTATGTTACTAAAGTAATTTTTCATTAATTGTTATATACGTGTGTACGTTTGATTAAGGTCTTACGAATTATTATACATCTTATAATTATATTATTTATATATATTGAAAGTCTCACATCGTGATTATTTGGTATGGTTTAAATATATGTTAGGTTACTCCACATATTATCAATTGGTTTTATATTGGAATCTTAATATGGTATCGAGTTAAAACCTAACATCTTTCCGATTATTGTCATCGGTCAAAAATTACCCTTTAGTTAGGTTAAAAGTACCCTTTACCTAGTCCGACAGACTTCATTGGAGAGAGAATGTTAAAAGTTCCACATCACATACCTCATATTATTTGATATGATTTAAATGTTTAGGTGATTTTATATCATAATCTTATCAATATCTATAACTAATAAGTTATATTATTTTTCTCTTTATGGTAAAAGAAGGTTATAAAAATATGGAAAATGATACTTTGACAACTCAAATTCATACAACTCCTATAAACAACCCTCTTTTAATATTATAATAATAGTTTTATTTTAATTTTTATTTATATTCAATCATTTTATAGATTATTATATTAATAAAAGTGAGTTGTTTGAAGGGTTGTATGGTTTTTGGTTGTCAAAATATCACCACTCTAAAAATATACTGTTATGAATGACTATTATCTCACATATATATTTTTTGGACTTTACACCAAGTGATGGAGAAAGAAAGGTCTGGTTCAGTTATTGTGTGATTGTGGACTACAATAACTTCACATGCATAATCAATAATATTCAACACCACACGTTAAACAACTCAAACAAAATATTGATTTTTTTTTATGACTAAGAAGATGAGGATCATATATTAAAATAAAATTTACATTGATCATTGTATATCAATATTTTAAAATTTCACTGTAAAATTATTTAATTCAGTCAAAAAAATTATATATAATTTCATCAAATATTATTTTCACTAAAATCGACTTAAGATTCATTATGTTTTAAGTTTGGAAAGATTAAGTCAAACAGCAATGCTAGCTAGGGGGTATCGGAATATTATTGTCTGATCGGCATTGATTCAAATTGTGAAGTGAAAAAATAAAATAAAAAAAGCACATTATTCCTTTAATTAAATTAAAGAATATGCAATTTTCAGCACGCATTTATATAAACAATGCCATGGAACCGCTAAACGCGAACAGTTCGGAACTGACTAGAATCACCAAATCCATGACAGCAGCACGTCAACGTCACATGTTGGCTATACTATTCGTTTACGGCTTGAAATTTTTTATAGTCAAGAATTGAAGAGAAAAATAAGTGAATTTAATTATTTTATATTTAAACTAACTTTTAATAACATTTTAACCGTTACACAATTTAAATATTTTCAAAACCCGAAAGAGTAAAACCAAACCAAGTTTAGCCTATAGTTTAGAGCTCACAATAATTTTTTTTTTCTTTCTGAATTTAAAACATATGGGCAACAACATTATGAAAATGACTCGTAAGGAACAGTACCTATTAGAAAGACTTTAAAGCCTCATAATGTACTATGTGGCTTTTTCTTCTGCATTCTTTCACGTCACACATCTTGGGCACATTGCCTCCACACACCATATAGAGTATCTCTCACTCCTCAAGTACTCATTCCAAGATGCCTAATATGCATTATAAAAAAGGTCAAAATATAAAAAATGGTTTTACTTTACGTAAAATTGGTTATAAATATGACATAATTATTAACGTGTCATAATGTCCAAGTCTCCTATGTATATCACCAATAGCAAGTCTAATTACGTTAATATTATATTTTGCATTTTATTAACTAATTTAAAAGTACTATTAAAAAAGTTATTAAATTTGCATACAAATTAATAATAAAAAATAAATAATGAAACAAAATAAGTTATTGGTGGAATAAGTAAATTTGCAATTTGCATACTAGTTTCGTCACAAAGAAATAATATATAACGACAGAGATTAGAAACTAAGTGCTGTCACACATGTGTGGAACGACAACAACGATGATGCTTTATTACCCTAATTTTATAATTTCATCAACAAAAGTTGCAGTGCAAAATTACCATATATATACATTCTCAGATGCCGATAATATTTCCCAGCTTTGAGGGAGATAAATCCAAGACAAGGATTCACGACATAACCTAAATCTTACAATGATTACTATTTTTACCACGTTTATTACCAGACATGGATACAACTGGAGCTGTTGTACCAGCGAAAGAACCACCGTCCCATAATCTAACAACGTTGCCGTTAAGCTCCGTCACGTCCTGCCACGTGTACCATCCGTTTTCATTCTCCCCGTTTCTCAACCGTAACAGCCTCTCCCACCTCTTCCACCACTCCGTTTCCGAGCCCTCGCTCTCTTCGCACGCCGCCGCGAACCCCTCGCTCTCGCAGTCGCACGTGCATTGCACGTGCTCCTCGTAATACACTGTAAACTTCCCCTTCCTGACTCCGTCAACGTCCTCCGCCACGTTAGCATTAACTCGCGCTGGCTCCGTCTTCTCCTCGCTGGGCGTCAACTGGTGGGGCACGGTGGAGGGTTGGGTGTCGGGCTCGGGCTTGGGCTTGGGGCAGCCCGAGGATCGGATCTTCCAGAAGCTGAGTGCGGCGGTGAGAAGAGCGAGCCAGGTCCATAGATTGTTGAGGGCTGTGAGCAAACCGAAGCTCAAGTAGTTGAAGGCTAGAGCTTCCACGTTAGAATCCAACACGTTCATTCTTTATTTTATTTTTTTTGGCTCACTCTGTTCTTTCTACCACTATTTGATTCAGGCTTTTTTGTTGAGAGAGAATAATTGAATATGGGAGAGGGAGTGAAAGGAAGATTTAAGGGCGAAAGAGGAGACACTGGAGGGTGGGATCTCTAATAAGATGCCAGAATCAGGACCTAAGATGCTACTCACTGTGAACGCTGCCATCACAAAAAATATATTCAATTAATTAATTAATTAATAATAATAATAATAATAATAATAATAATAATAATTTTAGGGCAAGTTTCCTTCCACCCAGAGAATTGGATCATGGTCAATTTGTTTTATTTATTTAATGGTAGAAATGGTCTCATTTAGTTCCTTTTAAAAATTGTAGCACGGTTTTAAATATTAATAAACTCAAAGAATTCTAGAAAACAATGTATTACTTTTAATATTGTTGTTCTATTTTTCATAAGCTTTTGTATAAAATAAATCATTATATATTAAAAAATGTTCAAATATTATTTTTATTTTAATCTTTATCCATATTTATCTCTAAGTTTATACTATATTTTCCTGAACACATTTCAGTTAAATCATATCATCGGAATGACATTCTTACGGACAATTTGTTATTTTGTGATTTTATACACATGTCTACGTCTTAATACTTTCGCATTATAAATATGTATTAGCAACACTCACCAAATATTTACTACACGTGTAATAATTGAATAAAATAACATGTAGATATAATTTAATTGCTAATTATTCATGATAAAAAAATCTTTTACGACATATAATAATTATACGAAATAAGAAGAAACATGTATGTTTTGATGCATGTTGACAGTCTTGTTATTAGAAAGATAAAAATATAAACTTTATTTTTTATCTTTCATCTATCGTAATTATAACATACATTTTATTATAATAATATGTACAACTAATTTTATACTTCATTCACTTTAAGTAATTACATCATTTATCCTTTCAATTAAAATTAGTTACAGAATATATTGACATCATTTATTTTTTTAATTAAAATCAATTACCAAATCATTCACTCGACGTATTAATTGGTTTCAATTTGAACTTGAAAACAAAATCAGGTTTATTCCTTTATTCAATCTTATAAAAAATAAAGCTGAAAATAAATTAAGGGTCAGGTTAATATGATAGAAAAATAATTAGGGTTTATCTTAATTTGTGAAAAACTTTTGAAAAAAAAATCATAAATCTAATAATATAACACATGTAAGTTAATTTGTAGTTTTATTACGTTCTTAATTCATTATAAAAAAATTATTATACATGGTCTTTACATTATTGATTTTCATACTATAACATACATGAATCATATTAAGAATACTAATTTTCATTCATGAGTGAGAGTCTGTTCTTTAACTTCAATCTCCTTTTCTCAATCTATCTCTTTGTCTCTTTATTCTCAATCTATCTCCTTGTCTTTCTTTCTCTTTTCATGTTTTCTTTGTCGTGAAAAAAGCTTGTGGCGAGAGACAGAACCCCAATCATCTTTTATTAACCCACATTCATCAAGTTGGTTACAGTTAGTTTTTATTTTATTTTATCTTTATTTTATTCTAATTTTCTATAATAACCAATAAATCTTTATATTTTAGTAAATCACATTTAAATTTATCGTTATATTTTATCTAAGTCATATAATAAAATGAATTAATTAAATTAATTCTAACATAAATCTCTTTATATATACACGACACATACAAGTCATAAAATTAAACAAAATATCAAAATATGTGATCAAATTTCTCAACAAAATAAAAATTCAATAAGGGATAAAAATCATTAAAAAAATATGATTACATATATTATTTATATTTTTGGAGCAATTTTATGGTTGAAATTTTGTAATGTAAATTTTACTATAAAAGTTCATCAGGTCAAATTTTATAACATCTGTTAAATCAGTAAGTTTTTATTTTATTCTAATTTTTCATAATAACCAATAAATCATTATATTTTGTTAAACCACATTTAATTTCATTATTATATTTTACCTGAGTCATATAATAAAATGAATTAATTAAATTAATTATAACATAAATCTCTCCATATATACACGACCCATACAAATCATAAAATTAAACAAAATATCAAAATATGTGGTCAAATTTTTGACAAAATAAAAAATTAATAAAGAATAAAAACCATTAAAAAAATATGATTACTTATATCATTTATATTTTTGGAGCAATTTTATGGTTGAAATTTTATGGTGTAAATTTTACTATAAAAGTTCATCACCTCAAATTAATTTTATAGCGTTCCTTGTGATAAAAAAATCACTTATAGAAACGAAAATTTTGGTACAAATCCATTATAAATTAACTTAATTAAATGTTTGTCCCAACGATTTTGAATCCATTACTAATTTTAATTTTTCTATAAGTGAAAATAGAGTAAAAAAATAAAAAAATTCCTTGCTAAGATGTGTTTTATATGAAAGTCAGCAACATAGTTGATTGTGACATTCACATTTGATTTTTTTTGGTAAAATTAAAAAAAACGCACCATTTTGGACCAAACACAGGACCCACAGGACCTACGCCATCACGTGTCATCCAGCAGTAAGTCAAAACTACCAACTGATCAATGATTAATAAATTTTATATTTGTTATATACATTATTCAAATTAATGCAGCTCAACCATGGACTTTTGTATTTATGGATTTCTCGTGATTATTTTATTGTCATAAATCTAATGTCGTCTTCTAATTAGTTGTGGTCGTGATTGTGGCTTGTATTTTTTGTTGATGGAGTTTTGGTTTCTTTATTAAATTAACTCAAGTCTAAAGAACAAGCATACTAACCTCTTAGCTTTGGATGATAAATTGTACGGAGTGAAAAAAATAAATTAAAATGGGGAAATGAAAAAAGTTTTTAAATTTTTTGTAATGATTTAATTGATACAAATAATAAAAAATATTTTAAAAAAATGACCAACTTATCTTTAAATAAAAAAATTATTAATAATATAATTTAAAATATTATAATAATGTTTTTATCAATATAAATATTAATATAATAAATAAAATAATTATTCTTATATTATTATATTTTAAAGATATATATTATTTATTTAATATTTTATTAAAAGTATTACTTTTAAAATAAAATATTCTAAAATAAAATAACAATTTGAGTGCATATTATCATCATGACAAACTGATTTCAAATTCTTCAACAGCTTCATAATCAACATTTACCTTGGTCGTGCTACTGTTTTTCTTCATTACAGGTTCATGTAGTAGTAAAAATATAGCACCAAAAACACATATAAGACTTTGAATTTTATTTTTTTGCAACAAAAGACCATTTTTATATGAGGTGTAGATTTGTCTGAATAGGTTTTGAAGTTCTGTGTATAATAAGGTACACATGCTGAACAAACTTGTTGAAAATTGACTGCACCGAAATGGGCCTGGCACATTGGGCTTCTGCTTTGTGACCCATGCGGTTTCAACAGATCTGACACCTCTTCATAGAGGAGACCCTCTTTAATTGCATTTACACCTACCCACCCACCAAAACACTGAAATGAACGAACCAGAATGGGAACTCCTTCCCCCTGTCACTTTAATTCTTTCACGTCAAGGGCAAAGAAATGAACAAGTCTTCTTCTTCTGTAGTTTTTCTCGCAAGCTCTCAGCATGCGATGTTCCGGCTTCTTCCTTAGTAGAATCCAGGTTTTGAGGTTGGTGTCATCACGCAAACCATGTCCATGGCCCTGCAATTTCTTCTTCTGCTCCATTTGCTCGCTGTTGCTGCTCATGGACTCGCTTCCAATGCGGTGAGTGTGTTGCTTCATGTTTGGTTGATTTGAAGAAATATTAATTATAATAATTTCTACTATTTTGTTTTTCATCGTTCTTTCTTGAAAAAATGTTGTATTCTGTGAATCGATTTGTCGAAGTTTTGTCTTGCTTGCAGACACTGAACGAGACTTGTGGATACTTCGATGGTTCTCTCAGTAGAGACACAAAAGGTACGATTTATTGTATTACTTACATAATAATCTGTCTGATTCAAAATCATTGATGGTTGAGGTTTTCCACAATGAATGATTATGAAGAGTCATTGAATGCCTCTGATTGTTGACGAATATTACTGAATTATCTCAGTGTCATTGGTAATATTTTCTGTTATATTTAGTGGAGATGCCAAGAGACAAGGTCAGCATTGAAAATAAATTAAGCTTTCTTCACTTTGAAAAGTGATGAACAGTTTGAAACAAACTAAAATTTCTGATGGACAATTACTTTGAAATGAAGGCAACGTTTCTATCTTTTAGAATGTTCATCGAGGCTTTCAAAATGGTAGTTGCGGCCGATTTGTCTAGACTGCACTTGAAAACCTTGGAGTTAATTATCTGATGATAGGTTGGGTGTTTTAATACAATCTAGTTAAGTTAGATGCAGTTACACTTTACTATAAATGAGATTATTTAGAGTCGTTAGTACGTTACCTAATTACCTTAAACAGTATGATTACTAGTAGTAGAAATGTGGATGAAGGTGAAAATTGATCTGCTTTGGAGATAATATCTGAGCAATTTATGCAGTTGCTAGCTGGTTTAAGCCATAGGGTTAAACTGTGTGCTATTGCCTGGCTTTGTAGCGTGTTACTCCAACGCAGGCAGCTACGTCAACCATTATGGAGTCGATCTGAAGCTTGGTGGTCAAGCTATTTTCACTGCCAGTAGAGAGTGGAGTGGTCTATATTCTTAGCAGATGTTGAATTATTTTTAGTTTTCCAGTGAGGCATAGACATTATGCAACTTCCGGCTAGTCGGAGGTGTTTAACATACATGAATAGTTTGCTATTAACTGCCAAGTAAAACATACAAGCTAACTAATACAGTGGCTAATTACTAGAAAAGCAACTAATTATGACTAATTGGCAGGTTCTTTCCCTTGAGTGAGTTTGCATCTAGATGCATACTCATTCTCACCAATGTTGTCAAACTCGTGAATTC